AAAATGGGGGGGTTAACCAGCCTGAGCCGCATTCAGCCGGTCCAATACTCGGCCTCCCATTTGAAGTAATGGCTGAAGTATGGATTAATGTTGGTGTTTAATCCTGTCTCCATGGTTGTCTTGTCATTTCCTGTTTTATTTTGAAAGGTACATCCCCTTGTTTCAGGTCTCTTGCACTCCCCTGTGTGCCATATGTCTGTTTGTCTTCCCTGATCCCTGATTGGTTCCCCTGGGGTTCCCTGGTGTTTAAATAGTCTGAGTCTCTCCATAAGTGTGTTTGGACATCTGACCCAAACTGTGCATGAACCTTGTCTTTGAATATCCTCTTTTTTAGCGGTTATTATTTTGTCACCATACTTTTTTTCCCTCCCTCCCTCCCTCCTGAGTGTAATTTTGGTACTTTATTTGTCATAGTGGTACTCAGAAAGGACTCAGATGTGGAGGTAGTGATACAAAAAACGTTATTATAGGTTATTATAGGGAGTGGAAGGCCAAAGTACAAAATAATAATCACTCAAAGGAGGTCGGGTTAGAAAAGTAACAAATCAGGATCACTCGAATCGAGGCAGAAAAAAGACCATAAATAAAGTACCAAAATAAAACTCACTTGGAGGCAAGAACAAAAACAAAGTACAAAATCTAAATCGCTCTTAAGAGGAGAAAACTGGTTCAGGGAAACACAATCAGGGATCAGAAAAGACAATTGGAGAGATGACACACAGGGGAGTGCAAGAGACCTGAAACGAGAGGATGTACCTTTCAAAATAAAACAGGAAATGACAAGACAACCATGGAGACGGGACAAAACACCAACAAATCCCCCAGACGTGACATTCTGTTTCTCCAGCCAAAAGCTTTGATCTGCTCACAAATCTGTGGCTTGTTTTCCTCGTTCAGTCTGAAATACCTTCATCCAGAAAGGAAACTTCCTTCTTTGTTCAAGTGTTCATCCACGCCTAAATTCAATTTGGCCGTGGGCAGACGCCCAGAGAGGAACCTCATCAGTTTCCATTCAAAAAACCAGCATCAACCTGAATGCATCGGGATGCTTTTGACCTGAGTTAAGGGAATAATTACCAGCAGGATTTGATAGTCTGAATATTTCCCCACAGAGAACAAATGTGAGGCTTCAGCCGGCTCCCAGCAGCACTTTAGAGGATTAGAGGCTGTGACTATAAAAAGTTTGGTGATTTGAGGCTGGATGCGCGCTATATTGAGTTAGAACAAATTGGATTGAGTTGGAAATGATCAGCGGAGGAACCAGAGTTTCAGGTTTTGACTCGGGCCTGTGAATCCTGTTACATATGCTCTGGTTTTGTTAAAGTTGACCCAACAAAACGTGAACTAAATTCACTTGAACTATAATAAAACATATTCTCTCACATCCTTCAATGGAAACGATAGGCTGCAGCATTAGCTTGTATTAAGGATTTGCCTTTGCTATAAGTTAGTTTTTATAGGTTAACAAGTCTTAAATAATAATATTAAGAGATAAAAACTGAATTTAAAAAGTGTTTAAATTAAAAGAATAAATTAAACTAAGCTTTTAGGAGAAATGATACATGATAAAGTTTGTTAGAAGCTTCACATTAAACATTTGAAACAGAATGATTCAATTGGATTTCTTATCTTTACAAAACAAGAGATTTATTTGTTTATTTGTTTGTTTATTTGTTCAATAACTGCTTCATTTGCTGTGCCTTTCACCTGAAATGCCTTATGTGACAATCTGTGCTGAAATTTAAGGAAATGTATATAAAAAAACTTGGATCCAATGATTAAACAGCAGAATTGAGCTATTGGGATGATAAATGAAGTTGGATACTATGATTCGACAAATAAGCGTTTTATAAGATGACAAACAATATTATCTTTGTTTCATGCTTGAAATTATGTTTCGACTGGTAAATGAGAGAGTTGCTGTTTGTATTAAACCAAATTTAGGCTAAATCAGGGGATTTCTAACTTTAGGGGGTTGCAAATGTTTGAAACTTACAAACTCAGAACTCATCTGAAGTAAGATGTGGGTCAGTTTTGGGTTCAAAATTATGGAATGGACTGAACAATAAAATAAAGATATTTATCATTATGTTACTTTTCAAGAAGACTGATGCTTTAATGTGAATTGTTTATCTGATGGCACAGGATAAACTCAAGATTAGGCCTTGGGGTTTCAGCCTGTTTGTGTGTGTATCTGTGTGTGTGTGTGTGTGTGTGTGTGTCTCATGCCTGAGACATGAGATCACCACCAACATTTGTTCAGTCGGTTAGCAGACGGCGGTAACTGAAGGCCTTTGTCACGTCTCCTGGCAGGAGTCAGGATCCAGCATGACTCTGCTTAAGGTTAGAAACTAATCCCAACCCTAACCCTCCACTATGGGATGCTCAGACAAAAGAGAGAGGAGTCAACACCAGTGAAGCCCGGTGTGTTTTTGGCCCATTGGAGGATGCTCCTGAGCAGGCTCTGATCCTGGTTTCTATTTTCCAAAACGCACAAACGAGTTCAGACGTGCAAGAGAAATGGTTTGAGAATCAGATGGGCTGGTTTTTAATCATCTAAACTGCTTCTCTCAGATGAAAACTGAGAATCAGTGAGTGAAGAACGAAGAGAATTTTGGATTTCAGAATGTCACGTCTGGGGGATTTTTTGGTGTTTGGTCCTGTCTCCATGGTTGTCTTGTCATTTCCTGTTTTATTTTGAAAGGTACATCCCCTTGTTTCAGGCCACTTGTGTGTCATCTGTCTGATTGTCTTCCCTGATCCCTGATTGGTTCCCCTGGGGTTCCCTTCCCTTCCTGTGTTTAAATAGTCTGAGTCTCTCCTTGTCTTGTGTGTCTTTGTTGATTTTTTTTTTATGAGTGATTTTGATTTTGTACTTCCTAGTTTTTCGTTCTCGCCTTCGAGTGAGTTTTATTTTGGTACTTTGTTCATGTTTTTTCTGTCTCGATTCGAGTGATCTTTATTTGTTACTTTTCTAGTCTGTCCTCTTTGGAGTGATTATTATTTTGTACTTTTGCCTTTCCACTCCCTGCCACTGTGCTTTTGTTTCTATTAAAGTTTTTAGCAAAGATCTCTACATCTGAGTCCTGTTTGAGTCCCATTTCTGACACAGAATCTCCACATTTTAGAACATGAGAACCTTCTTCCCCAGCAAATGGGAACAAGTTGGAAAAACACTTGTTTTGTAAAGCTTTTTTTTAAATGTTGATTGTAGTATACTCTCTTAATACTTCTCCAAAGACTGGACACGAGCCTGTGGTCCAACACAAACCTCCAGAGAAGTCGGTGCTTTAACAAAAGACCTAATTTTTGCTCAGTAAATCAGAATCAGAATCAGAAAGCTTTGTGACTGACTTGTGATGGACTAATTGACAGCAGTCCATCAGGAAATGCAGCTTTTGTGTCTGATAGTCACCCGTGGGCCTCAGCTTATGCTCCGTGTTTGGTTCCTGGGTCTCTGCCAGCTCCCCTTAAACAGCAGCCAGAAACACACCAAAGGCCTCTAACCAAAACCCGCTCCCCCAAACCTAAACAGTGGCCGAGATGTGAGAAATACACGTGAAACCGCCTGGATAGGTTTGTGGGATTTTCCTTTATTTACAAATCTGCAGGCCACATTTTGACTCTGGATGGAAACCAGGCTCCGGCCCAGAGGCCGTTTGCTTTTTTACAGAGGAAAAGACACCAGAGGTGGACTTTTTCTGAGTGTTTGTGTTGGTTTTCTGCTCAGGAAGACAGGGTTTACCACCAGGAGATGGCACCTCAGAGCAGAGGAGCTGGAGTCCAGAGCAGGTTTGAGTTCCTGCTGCTCTGGCTCCATCTACAGACCATCTCCATTTCTGAGGCTTTTAAAGAGCTCCTTTCTCTGCTGGACTTGTTTCTACATGCCAGTAACTGTCTTTATCTTAGTCACAGAACTGTGAACACTTACAATTAGATCAAATTGAGAAATGAAAAGTTATATATAAAATGTTATATACACACATTATGTGTAGCAAAGCTAAATAATAGAATAGAGTAGAATACTTTATTCCTTTATTGATCTCACAGTGGGGAAATGTACAATTATGTACCGTTAAAGCACCATAAAAGGGAATTGAAGGAAACCAGAAGATAAATTACGAGAAAATGATAAACACGCAGAGCTGTGATTAAATGTGGTTAAAAAAAACAAAACAAGTCATGACACCTACATTTCTTTTCATACAAATACACAAAAGTCCAGTAAAAGCACATGTTTTCATTCATCTGCGTCAATTGATCAACTCTTTTTTTTTCTCTGATCAAATGATATTAACTTAAACTTTGGAGTGAATCTGAATTCTTATTGTTTGTCTTCATCTTTTTGTCTCTTCCTTTCTGCTGAGACACCCTCATCTCGCCAAGGAGAGGAAAGAAAAAGAGTTTCATAAAGAAAAATCCAAGATTCTCCCCAAAATAATCACCATTTAATGAACAAAATTACACGTCGAACAAACCAAATCTAAACTACCAATCCCGGCTGAGCTATCAGGTCAAAAGGAAAAAGAAAAATATATAGAAAACCGTGATCAGAGGAAATGATCAGAATGTGGAAATAACATGGAAAAAAGACCAAAGTTACCACACAAAAGGCAAATAAATGAAGTGTAACATTCCCAAGCCTTCTCCGTATTTTAAATCTAGTGTTAACAGACACCAACAAAAGCCTAGAGAGGCAGGCGTTTTTCATTTTAAATATTAAATATTAAATGAAAAGTGAGGCAGATGTTTTTTATTTTAGATATTAGATATTAAATAAAAATTAAATAAAAAGAGAGGCAAATGTTTTTAATTTCAAATATTAAATAGATTTTTAATAAAAAGAGAGGCATGCGTTTTTAATTTTAAATATTAAATATGAAATAAAAAGTGAGGCAAATGTTTTTAATTTCAAATATTAAATAGATATTTAATCAAAAGAGAGGCAGAGGTTTTTCATTTTAAACATTAAATCTGAAATATTAGATGACACCAGAGGTCTATCTCTTGTAGCACAGGAAGTTCTTCCTCTCTGAACAGTCCCGGGGCTCCAGGCCCCCGGAGTCCTTCAGCAGGACCCCGCAGTGCTGCCCCGGGGGGGGGCAGGCGGGCAGGCCGCCGTACAGCAGCTCGGCCCCCCCCACCCACAGCCACTCCCCCGCCAGGAACCGCAGCCCGGTCCACACCTGCAGGGGGGGGGGGCAGTCAGACTCCAGAGGAGCAGAAAACACACACCCAGGGGGGGGCAGGGCCCAGAGGGGGGGCCAGAGGACGACCTGGGGTCCAGAGGGGGACCAAAGGGGGCCGGGTCCTTAACTAAATCCTGTCTACCCTCAAACTAAATCCCCCAAAACTCCTTATCTAATATTTGCCTCCTTCTGGACTCCAGGTCTGCAGCGTCCTCCACAGAAAGAATAGAAACCCAGAATGAGCCTGTAGGACCCAGAATGAGTCTGTAGGGCCCAGAATGAGCCTGTAGGACCCAGAATGAGTCTGTAAGACCCAGAAGGACCCAGAATGAGTCTGTAGGACCCAGAATGAGCCTGTAGGACCCAGA